TGGTTATATGTAAGTAAGAGGATAGGTTTACACAGCAAGACAGATATAACAGCGAATTAATCCACACAGCAGTACAAAGGGCTCAGTTCAACTCACTTTCCTGGAACAGTTAATATACTGAAAGTCCTTCAACTCATGTGGGTTTTGCGGATAGCGAAGTCTTCCCACAGGCAAGTGACAGGCCGAGTCTGCCCGCAGGCAGCAAGCAGCAGGATGGATCACAACAGTCAGTAGCTTGGAAGCTTAGTGAGGCAGGCCCTGATGTGAGATCTCAAACTAAAGCACTGTGACGGGACCCACTTGCCTCAAGCTCAAGCAATGCACACACCAGCAGCATAGTGAAGCAGGTCTCAAAGGACCCTCAAGCTCTAGTGACATGATCCGCGGGTTGGCTTGACCCACAAGTAGTGTAGCACACAGGTTGAGGCAGAGAACTAGCTAAACAGGAGCACGCTGGTCTGATCACCAGGGAGCAAGAGGGAGATGGGATGCCAGCTGTCTATATTTATTTATTTAATCAAACTGCGACCTGATTAAACTCCACCCATACGTTCCTACTGGCCTCGTTGGTGCAATAAACCTATCACACCATTCTTTGCAAAGTTTTCATAGTTTGTTATGATCAACACAGTCAAATACCTTTGCATAGTCAGTAAAATACAGGTAAACATTTTTCTGATATTCTCTGCTTTCAGTCGAGATCCATCTGACATCAGCAATAGCCCTTAGACCTTGTTCTCTTTTTAATCCAGCTTGAATTTCTGGCAGCTCCCTGTTGATATACTGCTGCAACCATTTTTAAAAATATCTTCCTAAAAACTTTATTATTTTAATTAATATTATAATTCATTAATTTCCTCATTCTGCTGGATGCCCTTTCTTTGGAGTAAGCACAAATATGAATCTCTTGTAATCATTTATGAGTTAAGTGTCTTCCAAATTTCTTGTCATAGGCAAGTGAGCCTGTCAGGTGTATAATTCATTTGTTGAAATATCTCAATTCGTATTCCATTTATTCCCAGAGCATTGATTTTTCCCAATGACTCTAGTACCACTGGCACTTCTTCTTTGATACCATTGGTTCTTGATCACTTGCTGCCTCCTGAACTGGATGAACAGCGACCAACTGTGGGGGGTAAAGTGACTCTGTGTTCCTTCCGTCTTCTTCTGAGGCTACCCAGATCCTCTACAACAGAGACAAGGAGGAAAAGGAAACAGATACGGATGGAAATCCGGAGGCCCTGAGCTTCCGAGGAAAGGGCAGAGAAGTCGATTGACCACTGATTAGGAGAGGAAGCCGAGCGAAAGTGGCAAGTATGGAGGGGCAGAAGGTGAATTGTTGGCTGCCTGCTGCAATGCAGTCATCTTAAACTTTTACAGACGGCAATCGATCCAGACAATACAAATACACACTGGTGACAAGACTTCCCCACACCCATCCCTGGTGAGCAGAAACATGACCAGCCCTCAGCCTCACCACCAAGCAGTGACACCTACCCCTCATAGCTCCTGCTATGCCTGAGCTAAACCCTGCATCTAGAGGTGCATGAACTCTGCCTCATCAGACAGCCGGAACTCTCAGTGCTGTGTCCCTCACAGAACTCCTCCCATAACCAGTGACCCTGCCCCCAGCTGCCCTGTGGGCCTGAAAGTGTTCCTTCAGGGAACAAGCACCCAAACCTCAGCTACCATCAGAGCCAACACAAATGACTTCCAGATCAGATGCCCTGATTCCAGGCAACGTTCACACCAGCAGGAACTTCATGTAGGATCTAGTGTCCCACCCTCTCAACTGCCTGCCTCCCCCCACACACAGTTTCCTTCTCTCCAGGTCCTGCCTCTGTCCAGTTGTCTTTCTTTTCTGTTGTTGTTTTCTTTCATTTCTTTCCCTCCCTTTGTGTTTAACCCTTTCTTTCTCTGCTTTCCTTTTTCCTGCCTTTTCTTCGATGTCATGTCTTTTCTCCTTTCCCTTTCTCTCTTTACCATTCTCTTTTCTCTTTGCTTTGCC